AAACTTTTGTTTGACAACCGTTTTGCCCTTGTTAGTTTTAATAACAACCAACATCTACTCCCTCACGTTTTGTGGCCCATCAGGACATGGCACAACCTCTCCTTTAATTCTCACAAGAGGCACTTTTTCAACTGGTTAATACTAGCACTCACCATCTTCCAGCTTTATTCCTTTTATTATGATGTGCTTTGACCTCTTGCTGCCATGTAGGGTCCTCTCTGTGCTGTGACATGCTGAACCTACACATAGAATAAAAAAGAAAACATAGAGCATTTCAAAGACAACAAACACCTAATTGCTGTGATGATAATTTTAGATGGTAGGGAAAAACCAATGTTTTCAGCTAAAAAAAAAAATTGTTTCAACCAAAACTTAATACCACATGTAGAAAAAAATAAAAATAAATAATGAATATAGATTAAATAAAACTGAATATTCAGCAAATAAATTGTGAAAAATCACCAACCTGAAGTGAAAATCAAGAATAATCGAGGGAAACTAGTGATGACACAAAAAATATGACATAGAAAGAATATTGAATACAGAAGAAATAAACCCGGAAAAAATTAATTTCTTGATAAATCACAAAACATTCATGAAAATAAAAAATAAGCATGTAAAACTAGCGATGATAACAAAACTGAAGTGCTAAAAGTGTAGATGACATTTTCTCAAATTTTTAGAGGAAAAATGCATATCTCTTGAAAATAAGTCACAGGTCGAAGAAAAAATGCACATTGTCGCTAAAACAAGCCTAATTTCATCCGAATCTAAATTATTTAGAAAACTGACAATATTTTTTGTCAAAAATAAAAAACAAGAAAACGAAATTAAAATCTATGTAGATTGAACGAAAATTGAGCAAATGCTTGCTGTAGATTGTGCCTAAGACTGTTATCAATGTGATCCCCATCAATTTCTGGGCTTAAAACCTTAGATCTGAGGGATCCGAGCTCAAAATTGATAACTTTCTATTAAGTAAAATTGGGGTTTCGATTTGAAAGTTTAGGTATAGGTCTTGTAGGTGTATGTAAAACCATTTCATTGAAGGTCTTATGAGAGAGAAAATGGTTGAAAATGAGGGAGACAAAATCCATTAATAGGTGAAACTGGTGAAAAGAAAAGTAGGTTTTCGAACAAATATTGAGACACAAGAAGATCGTTCCATTTTTTAAAAATTGCGTGATTCCCAATTTTGGAAAAACATTGCCCGGTTTGCCTTAACAAGGCAATTTTTGTCATATTGTGCTATGTCACTGGTTGGGGGCCATCTAGAACCGACAGTGTTTACAAAATCGTTGATCCAGATCGAAATCCTCCGATTCTGATCGGGTATCGGTGATACCCATCCGGATCCACTCAAAAATGGATCCGGATGAATTTGCACATGGAATCAGTTATTGATGTCATGAATCGTCGAGGCCATCACCGGTTCTGTCAGCATAGGCCATCACGTGTCATTGTCTTTCTTGAAATTTATTGTTTGGAAGCTAGGGCGACAAAAGGTGGAGGCGCGACCACCTTCATAGGAAACATTGTCACTCAACCACATCATTAATTGTTGAGCACAACCCACAACTTCTAATCATGCGCACAACATGTCGTCTTATTTGGTAGCCTTTATACTGCGTTACCCACTTTTGAGTCTTCGATGTGGGATTTGTTTCTCTTTTATTCTCGCACATCTTGACAGTTAAGTTGCGGCTTGAAATTTTCTTTATTTACTTATTAATATCCGTCAACCTAACTCTCTTTCCCTCCTCCCCCGAGCTCCCACCTAGCATCTCTCTCTCTCTCTACTAACAACCCTTCTCTCTCTACAAAGTTTCTTCGATTATTAATTCTATTAAAATTCTTTCTCTGTCTCTATTAAGTAGTATAAATTAATAATTTTACTAAAATTCTCTCTCTCTACTAGCAATTTCTTCCATTAAATTTGTTTCATATAACTTCTTTTAAAAATCAAAACTTCTAAGTTCATATAATAATGAAATAAATAAATTGAGTTAGAGAGATTTATTTTATTGTCATGTTGCATTTTAAACTTTATTTTGATTATAAAATAAATTTAATATACAACAAACACTCAAATATGAGACAGGTTCTCAGTATTTGCATATTTTTTACACAATAATAAAAAACTATAATACAATTGTCACTATTTCTTTAGAAACCTAAAAGTTAGATTTTTGAGAAAGTATAGTACTTTTTTAATAAATTTCTAATATGGAAGTGTTTTCTAATATTTTCTATATGGGGAATTATTTTTCTAATCTTATAATAAGGAATTTTTTTCTAATAATCTTAAATTATTTTGTTGTAATGTTATAATCAGTGTTTCAAAAAGTGCTAGGCAGCCTTGGGGTCTAGGCTGCCCAACGCCTAGGCAGGCGCCCAGAACCTGGGCAATTCATTTGAATCCAAAAAGGATTCTACAGTCTCTAACAATATATATATTGTATAAAATATAAAATTTAGGTATTTAGGGCACATCACAATTCAAAGTATACAACACATTAGCACACACTCCATAAGCATAACCATTAGTCGGTCCCTATCCAATTGAAACTTAAAAATTACTTACCAAATTATCAAACCAAAGTTATTAAATGCCAAATCAACTATAAATCCACTATCCACAATACACATACAAGAGGAAGAAAACAAAAATGAAAGTTATACTTGAAGACTCAAAAGAATCTTCAATCAACGTTCAAAGTTTAATCATTATTCATCATTCATAATTCATCATCAAAAAAAGTAGGGTTAGCCGCATTTGCATCATATTCATCGGAGTCATCACCCTCCTCAACATATTGGTCATCCTCCTCCGTCTCTTTTGAATTTGCCTCTTCTTCCTCCTCTTCCTCTTCCCTCGTCCTATGTGCAGAAGATCTAGTGGCTCTAGGAGGGTTGGCTGATGTCCCTGAAGCATCCATGACCATGTCCCATGTCAATTCTAAAGAAATCACCAAAAATTAGTTTTTTGGGGTTTTCTCGCTCTAAAGGGGTCTCTATTATGTTTTAGGTTACAAATACACTAAAAACAAGAAATTTGACCCTTTAGTATAAAAAAAACAAAAAATGCCCTACCAAAACTCATTTCTGCCTCTAAGAGAGGCGCAAGCCCTGAGCGGCCGCCCAGGTCTGGTCGCTAGGCCGCCTTGGCTGATTCTTGGGCCTAGGCAGGCGCCCAAGGTTTTCTGCTTATTTTTCATCGCCTAGGCCCCCAGAACCGCCTAGGCGGCTTCCCAAGCATTGAACGATCTGCTTTTTGAAATACTAGTTATAATATTATATTATAATTATTAATTATACGAACATCCATATAGGAAAACAGCAACTCAGTATTCACCTTTTTTATACAAAATAATAAAAGTACATAATGCACCACTCCTAATTTTTTTTAGAAACTAAAAGAACACTATTTTTAGAGATTTATAATGATTTTTTGAAAAACAATTTGGAACAAAAATTGCTGATTCGGTCGATTCTCTGATCTACCAATCCGACACGGGTATGGGTGTGACCGATTTAGGTCACTAATCCATTTTATTAAACGCTGAGAACCGGTGACCCCTAATTTTGAATCAAATCAGGTGATTCCGATCTGACCCATCGGTTTTTCAAACACAATATCAACCTTGATGGGTTCCTTATAATTGATGGACACGTTCTAAGTTTTCTATATGGGGAAATTATGGTATGATCCATTTGCTTTTGGTTATAGCATATATATAAGGATGATGAGCATCGATCAATGGATTGAATGGTGAGGCAGGAGAGTGTGGCCCAGCATGTCATTAATTTGATTGTATGTCATGCTCACTCTTCTTCACATCCTACCCATTGATTGGATGGTGATGATCATATTGATCTTGCTACACACCAGCAGTTTTCCCCATTTCCATGTAACTTTGGTTCTTCCCATTGGATGATACGAGAAATATAAGCTCCTTGTTGCTTTTTGACATTGAAATCCAATTTTGGTTCAGATCCATCTAGTGGGCTATTAGGGGTGTGAAATAGTTCTCTTACCTATTCCTCGTGAAATATCCAACAAATTGCCATCAATGCATTGAAGTTCCAATGTCTAAGGCATTATTCTTTTCGGTAGTTTGCATTCCTCCTTTTTTTTTCTTTTGCTTAAGGGAAAATATTCAGGGCTTAAGCTTTGGGTCTACCTTGTAACAATTATGTGTTCCATCATTGGACCAAACGCCACAACTTGTCAAGTCCACATGACACTAAGGCATTATACTACTCGATGACATACTTCTAAGTTTCACAGTTACTGTATGAGAAGCATCCATACAGTTCAATATATCAAGGTTGATTTGTTTTTGCTTGGCCAAGATGATGAATAAGTGTTACAAGGAACTTAGACAACCTTTTTTGTCTTTTTTTACCGAAGTAAATTAATGATTGTCTGACTAGAAGTGCTTTCAAAGTCCATTATGTTACACATGTAATTGTTTTTCTAATATTTACCAATTTGAACTTCCATACTACATTCGACTTTTATACTTCCAGTTACAAGTGTATAACTTGCTAAGGATGGTCTCTACGTTGGAACCGACCATACCTACTTGCTTGCATGTAGTAATTTCATTCCTGCCAGAAGTTAATTGTAGCTGGTATACTTCTTTTCTTAGAAAAAAAAAGAAGGGAAAAATAGTGGACTGGGAAATTCGGGGCCATCATTCCTAGTTATTCTCTTGTTTATTTTTATGGTGTAGTAGGCATTCTCGTCGGGAAGCTAATTGTGTGCCTTATAGATTGGATTGTTCATGTCAGAAGGAACTATCACTCATTTACATCAAACTTACTCATTTTGGTCAATCTTCTCGAATTTTCACTATTGAAAGTTGAGTAAGCAGATACATGTTTCATATGATTATTTCTTGACAAGAGTAATTTAATAGAACAAATTGCTTCAGTATAGTTAGTATTCGGTCATTAGCTTCTAAAAAGAGTAATAAATAGCATTGTTTTTACAGGATGCTATCAAAACTGCCTTATTACTTGGGGCCGTTGACCGTGAGATTGGGGGAATCGCCATCTCAGGTAAGAGGGGAACAGCCAAGACGGTAATGGCTCGTGGCTTGCATTCTATTCTTCCACCTATTGAAGTCGTTGTTGAATCAATTGCAAATGCTGATCCCATGTGCCCTGAGGAGTAAGAATTACAAATCTTTCCATGTTGTTTTCCAGGAAGTTATGAAATCATGAGATTCAATGTTTTTGGCTTACCTGCAACATGGTGTATGTATATGTTGTGACGATTGTTAATGTGGTGCATGTTGACGTAAATATCTCATTACGTTTTTGGTTTTCTACCATTGCCAGTATCGATCCCCCAAAATTTCTTACACATCATCATCATCAGAGTATTTTCCCAACTATTTGGGGTCAACAATATGAATCGTGGTCCGTTATTTTGCTCTATCAAGGGATGTGCCCTCAATGAGGCTATAAGTCCCCATATCTTTTCTCACTGAGTCTAACCATGGCCTTTTGGGCCTACCCCTGGCCCTTTTTGGGCCTTCCACTTGAACCAACTCGCACCCCTTAATAGGTGTTGTATTGGGTCTGTGCTGCACATGGCTTACCCACCTACGTCTACTTTCTCTCATCTTATCGTATATTGGAGCCACACATAAGTTCTTCCTAATATTCATTTCAAATTATATTCTTTGTTGTTTGTCTACTCATCCATCTCAATATCTTCATCTCACTTAGAATCTTTGTGCTCCTTTAAAGTAAATGTTGTTCTTTAATCCTTTATGATGTTCAAAGAGGGCTCCTCCTTAAGTCTAGTAAGGTGCATATGGAAGTTCACCATAGCCTATGTTCTAAATAGAAACTTGGTTGTTAAACCTAATGTCTTTTGTTTCAGATGGGAAGATGGACTTGCTGAGAAAGCACAATATGATGCATCTGATCTTGTCAAGACTCAGATTGTCAAGGCTCCCTTTGTTCAGGTACTGCCATACTAGCATTAAAGACAAGTATTCTATAACGGTGGACTATGGGAACACCATAGTCCTTTATGTCATCACAGTTTAAATGGTTGGTATGGATAGAGAATGGGTGGAACCCACCAGAACAAGACATGATCCCAATGGTCGCTCCTTCCTCTCTCCATCAACATAATTTCAATGGGCGAAGATGACCCAGCACACTGGTGTTTCCATATTCTATTGCATTATAATAGACTTCCCATTGAGAATATATGCCCTTTTCTGTCTCTTGATGCTACATGCCCATTTCTAAAGGAGATCATATGTTGAGTCATTAACATGTGTTTTGCAGATTCCATTGGGTGTAACAGAGGATAGACTTATAGGATCTGTTGATGTTGAGGAGTCCATTAGGACTGGAACTACAGTATTCCAGCCTGGCCTTCTTGCTGAAGCTCATCGAGGGGTCTTATATGTTGATGAGATAAATCTCTTGGATGAAGGCATCAGCAATTTGCTTCTAAATGTTTTGAGTGAGGGGGTTAACACTGTGGAAAGAGAAGGGATAAGCTTTCGTCACCCATGCAAGCCCCTTCTCATCGCTACCTACAATCCAGAGGAAGGTTCTGTGCGTGAACATTTACTGGATCGTATAGCAATCAACTTAAGGTAAGTTTGCTCAATTTGTAGAGCACTGGTTTTTGCAGCAGCTATGTAATTTATGGTTATTTTTAGTTTCTTTTTTAAAGCATGAATGGACTTACTGATTTTCTTTCCTGGGTGGGGTGGGGGGGGGGGGGGGAGTTGGTGGGGAATGGGGGAGTTTACCTGGAATGTAAACCCATGGTCATAAGAAATTTGTTGATTACAAGTTGAGTGTTATATTTCATGTTGTTGGTTTTGATGTTTATTAGTTGTTCTGAAAATTGTCTTGATTCTCAAAGTGAAGTAATCTTTTCAGCGCAGATCTTCCGATGAACTTTGATGACCGTGTTGCGGCTGTTGACATTGCAACCCAGTTTCAAGAATCTTCGAACAAGGTTTTTAATATGGTCAAAGAAGAAACAGATTCTGCAAAGACTCAAGTAATTCCTGCAAAAATATCGTTGTGCTTGTATGAAAAAGACATCTGAGCTTATTTATGTTACTATTTGATAGTAATTATTTACTGCTATGTGAAACTAACATGAGGAGTATGAAGGGACTACTTATATATTGAGTATGTGTCTGGTAATTGGCTGATGTTGCATTCTACTGTTGATGGGTTACTCTTCAATCCAGCTGTACTATGAAAGATTTTGACTCTTTTAAGATCCTTACTCTTGTTAAGGAGATAGAAGTTTAAACTTCCTAATATCCATTTAAAGGGCAAGAATATGTCCAATAAACATAATTTCCTTTGAGTTATAAAAAATAAAAAATATTGATGACCGAAATGTTCATTCGGTTTCAATATTATGTGAATAAAAACAAGCTATGCGCCTTTTAGTGCCTACCTTAATCCATGGAATATTTAGTAAATTGTTAACCATTTGCAGTTTACTTGAGCTGTTTTGACACCTCAAGACACTGTTCATCATCATCATCAGAGCCTTTTCCCCACTATTTGGAGTCTTCTATATGAATCCTGGTCGGCCATTCTGCTCCATCAACGGCTATACCCTCAATGAGGCCATAAGTCCCTATGTCTTTTCTCACTCCTTCCAACCATGTCCTTTTGGCCTACCTCTTTCCCTTTTTGAGCCTTCCACTTCTTGAACCAACTCACACATCTTTATAGGTATCGTACTGGGTCTGCACCGTACATGACCAAGCCACCTAAGTCTACCTTCTCTTATCTTATCACCTATTAGAGCCACATTTTAAGTTCTCCCAAATATATTCATTCCGAATTTTATTCCTTCTTATCTTGCCACTCATCCATCTCAACATCATCATCTGAACTACACATCCTATAGATATATCGTTTCTTGACTGCCTAACATTCTGCCCCATAAAGCAAAGCTGGTCTCACAGTCATTCTGTAGAACTTCCCCTTCAGCTTCATTGGTATGTAGCGATTGAAGAAAAACTTGAGAGAGAAAGGAACTTTTATGAAAAATATAATTGTACCCGTACACCTGTTGTGGTGGTTCTTTCATTGTATATATAATGGTAATACAATAGGGTAATATACACCTTCCTATTTTATTACATGCAATATACGCCTTTCTATTTTGTCACAATCACCTCTCAAAGGAAAGAGCAATACACTTTCCTATTTTCTTTGAATTTTGTTTTTATTACTCCCCCTCAAACTCGACTGAGGAGGCATTTGAAGCCCGAGTTTGAAGCATATATCTCAAAAAAACATCTCGTGGCAAAGGCTTGGTGAAGATATCAACTACTTGATTGCGAGAGGAAACAATCTAGTGATAAGCAACCCACGAGCAACCTTTTTCACATATAAAATGATAGTCTAACTCAATGTGCTTTGTCCAAGTATGAAAAATAGGATTAACTGTCATATAGAGAGCACTGATATTGTTACAAAAAAGTGTTGGTGGCTGATAAAGAGGCACCCCAATATCTCGAAGAATAAAAGACATCCATATCAATTCTACAGCAATGGATGCCATAGATCGGTATTCTGTTTCAGCACTTGAACAAGCTACAGTCGATTGTTTCTTAGCACTCTAAGATATGCAATTTGAACCTAGATAAGTGCAGAAACCAGTTGTTGAACGAGTGTTTAGACATTCAGCCCAGTCTGGATTAGAGAAAGCATATAACTCAAGGGAACTATCAGATAAGATTTTTATACTGCATGACTGTGTACCACTAAGATAACGAAGAATCCGCTTCACTGCCTGGAAATGTGCAATTGTAAGGGCATGCATAAATTGACACGCTGTATTAACACTATGAGAAAGATCTGGCCATGTTATGGTAATGTATTGGAGTGCACCAACAATACTCCGATAAAGGGATGTATTAGGAAATGGATCAGAATTCCTATGAATAGTATTTTTCATTGTCATTGGTGTTGAAATAGATTTGGCACCGAGGATCTGAGAGCGATCAAGGAGATCTCGGGCATATTTGCTTTGAGATAGAAAAATTCCGTCTAAGATACCTCTATGCCAAGAAAGTAGTGAAGAGGTCCAAGATCTTTCATAACAAATTCCCTTCCAAGTTGAGAAATGAACCATTCTAAAAGATCTGAATTATCACCAGTAACAATAATATCATCAACATAAAGGAGAAGGATAATAGTGCCTTGAGTAGTGCCAGAAACAAATAGAGATAAATCAGTTATGTTGCAATAAAACCCCAATGATAATAAATGGGCATTAAATCGATCAAACCAGGCCCGTGGTGCTTGCTTGAGACCATATAAAGCTCTTTTTAATTTTGCAGACAAGATTTGGATATTTTGAGCTCACAAATCCCGGAGGTTGTTCCATAAATATAGGTTCCTTAAGAAAACCATACAGGAAAACATTTTTCACATCAAGCTGTTTGATAGGCCAGTGGAGCACAATAGCTATGGTGAGCGCAATCCAAATACTAGGAGGCTTAATAACAGGACTGAATGTTTCAGAGAAATCAATTCCAGCAACTTGATTGTATCTTTTAGCAACTATTCTGGTCTTAAGTCTCTCTAGACTACCATCAGACTTTAATTTAGTTATAGACCCAACGACATCCAATAATATTCGTACTTGGAAGATGTGGAACTAGTTTCCAAGTTGAGTTAACATGTAAGGCTTCAATTTCCTCTTCCATCGCATGATGCCAACCTGAATGACCCATGGCAAACTTAATGGTTTTAGGTTTAGAAGGGATAGCTTCAAAAGTAGGAGCACTTGAGATGCTGTCGTGGATAGGAGAATCTGAGGTCTTCGAGTACCATCTTGAGATTTTGTGACCATGTGATGGTAAGAATGCTCAGAGGTTGGTAAAAAATTAGATTGCTTGGTTTCTTGAGTGGTAAAATTTTCGTCCATGATTGTGTGTTGCATTATCTTAGACATCTTGGATTGGTGTTGTAGTGGTGACATCTTCTTCTATAAGAGAAGTTGGAGAGCTATCATCGGTGATAGGCAAACAAGGATTGGAGGGACTAGATACATCAAGGGCATCCTGTATGGGTGGTTCATGTGAAGGTGATGAATCATAAGAGGAAGGAGTCAGTATGTCAGGCTCATAACACTCTGACCATTCTGCATAGGTGGAAAGCTCCCCCTGCACCTAAGTATTATCAAACAAAGAGTTGGGGTTAGCATAAGGATATATATTTTTATCAAATACATAATGTCTAGAGATATAGACTTGTCCTGTGGTGGATGTAGAATTGTAGCCCTTATGCTGAATATTATAGCTGAAGAATACACATGGAAGAGAACGAGGACTAAATTTGTTTGTAGTATAGCCTCGAAGAAATGGAAAACACTGACAACCAAATACTCGAAGTGAGGAGTAGTCTGGTAAGTGTCCAAACAATAATGAGTATAGGGAATCCATTTTCAAATTGGTAGAGGGAATTCTAATGATCACAAACACTATAGTATGGAAAGGCTTCAACCCAAAAACGTTTAGGAAGTCTTGCATGAAACATCATTGTAAGACTTAATTCTGCAATATTTCTATGTTTCCTTTCAGCTAGTCCATTTTGCTCAGAGGTTCCCGGACATGATAATTGTCGCTTAGTTCCATTGTCATTGAGATGAGTAATAAATTATTTCTTAGCAAATTCACCACCTCCATCACATTGAAAAACTCGAATTCTTTTATCAAACCTCCTTTCAACCATACGATGAAATTTCATAAATGCAGCGTAAAGTTCAGATTTCCATTTCAAAAGATAAATCCAAGTAAAACGAGTATAATCATCAACAAATACCGCATAAAATCGATAATTCTGATTAGATAAAATTGGAGTACGGCCCCATAAGTCTGAATGAATCTTAAAGAGAGGTTCAGTAGAGGTTTTACAACACCACTAAAAGGAAGCTGACAACTTTTTCTCATCTGACAACTAGCACAGACAGAATGAGATTTATTCCATGCATTAATATTGATCAACTATTTAGATTCTAAGTAACGAACAACTTTATTTGAGGATGTCCAAGACGTTGATGCCACAAATCCTCTGATGTTAAAGCTTGTTTCACTTCTTCAAGTGCATGCAGTCCTCCCTTTCTACTTCCGTTGGCCAGAGTTCTCCTTGTGCTCCTTTGCTTAATCAGAAAACCATTGATGAGAACTCAAAAATACAAAGGAAATCTATTGTAAATGGACTAACAGATAATAGTTTCTTTTTCATTTTACGCACCAAAAGAACATTAGAAACATTAAATTTTCCAGGCCCAATAGTAATTTTTGTATCACCAACATGTGAAATAGTTAATTGTTCACCATTCCCAACCATAACTCTATTTGTGCCTCTATAGGGGCAAAGATTTTGCATCTTACTTGGATCTCCTATCATATGAGTCGAGGCACGTGTGTCTGGGAACCATTTTGAGTTTGGTAAATCAAATAAAGTCATTGCAGCAAGGGCTTGATGAATATTTTATGCTTGGTACATGTGGTTGAACTGATACCAATACTTCAATGCAGTATGTCCAAGTTTCCCACAAATTTGACAATTTTTTCGAGGTGTTTGAGCTGGCTGTTGTATCTGGGAATCTTGTTGGAACCCTTGATCTATGTATCGCATAGAAAGTGTGCTACCACTTTCTTGATTTTTCTGGGGTACCCCACATTACTGATCTAGCTCGTGTGAGCAAACCCATGTCCTCGAGAATTGAAGAAATGTTGACCACCAAAGTTGTTCCTCCCTCTACCTCTATAATTCTGGTTACCTCTTTGGGTTCCAAAAATTTCTTGTTGTCCAACAAAGGCCATATTTTGATTTGGATCTGAGTGTTCTTCAGAGATATAGGGCTGATTTCAAATCTCATGGCTTTGAAGAAGACGTATGATTTCAGAATATGAAGGAATTGGTGGCTTAAGCATAGTAGTAGAAAAACTTTCATATTTTGGACCAAGTCCGTTAAGAAGCCAAAAAACCTTATTTTCATCTGGTTCAGGTTTTCCA